GCCCACATGCCCACCAGGAGCAAGTTTCAAAATGTTCAATTTGCTTACATTAAGCAGAGTAATTCCAGGGATATTTCTGAAGGCCTTGATGATACCATTATCGTTGTTATAGATAATGCATGGTCCCCTGCACTGGATGCGACGTCGATTTCTCATTTTACCTTTGCCAGCTCTCATTTGCTGGGAGGCATAGACCTTTTTGATATCATTCCAGGCCTTATGTTTCTTAAGAAGCAGGACAGCTTCCTTGGTCTTCTTGTAGCCCTCAACTTTATCTTCAACCACCAAAGGAAGCTCAGGAACTTCTTCAATACGATGACCTTTTGACATGACCAGCGCTGGTAAGGCCGAGGCAGCCGGGGCAGAGCAGATGGCATAGCGCTTCTGAGTTGTGTTCACTCTACGGTGCCAATGCCGCCAGGTTTTGGTTGGTGCAAACATGCAGCCTCCACGACACATATTTCCAAAAGCACCGTGGCTAGAGCGATGAGTCCCACCACCTCTAACTCTGGGAATTAGAGCCACCGCTCTACCAGTACCCCAAGACTCAGCACTGGACTGATGACCTGCCAGTTCACTGACGGCATAGGGCTGCCTGTTGTTTTTGCTCAAGTTGGTGTGAACGACGTTCACGATATCTGGCCGAATGGGAGCCTTGAACACAGCTGGCAGAGTAACATTTTTGCCAGATGATTCTCCCTTTTCTGAGTACACCGATATCAGTGGACGAGCACACGCCATGGCGCGGAGAGAAAGCCACGCTCCTCTCAACCCGGTGGTTGATCAAGTGCACCTTCATCTTTTAAACCAAATATTATCTTGCCCTTTAGCACTTTAAAGAAATCCCTTTAGGCAAATTTTCCTGATGCAACAACACTTTTGGGTTCTTGATTTGGTGCTTCTGTGGGTGCTGATTACAGTTCAAAGTAAAATGAAATAATCGACAATTTAAATTCTATGTTAATGATGCTGCCTATTTTAGTGGTAGGGATTTGCTTTCTTGATGTTTGTTGAACTCTAACTTAAAGTCTCTAATCTTCTTCAGTAAGTGTTTCAAATCTTCTTTGCTTACTGCAATTAAGTATCATCTACATAATGCAGGCTGCTGTTGAGTCTTCAACTAATCCTAAAGCTACATTCCTCTTCATATATTCCAGCTTCTCAAATTATCTACTCAGCATACAGTTTGAATAGGTAAGAAGAATGGATGCAACCTTGACCCACACCTTTCCTGATATGAAATCATGCACTTTTCCCTTATTTTGTTCAGACAACTGCTTCTTTGTCTATGCAGAGGTTTTGGATGAGCACAATTGTGCTGGGATTTTCATTCTTCTCCATATTATCCATAAGTAATTAAGATCCACAGAGTCAGATGCCTTTGTATACTTTGTATACAAGTAAATATTTTTTCTAGTACTCTCTGCCCTGTAAAGATTCATCTGACATGAAAAAAATAATACCCGCAATATTGTTAACAATAATAACAGTGATATCAGCAGGGATATCCTTTATTCTATGATATCTTCTCAATTTAGCTTGAACTTCTGTCAGTTCTTTGTTGATGTGTTGTCCCAATTTTAAAATTACTTGCATGTGATGTTAACGATGTTAATGATACTGTTTGATGTTGCTTCTGTTGTTAGATTGATACTAACTCTATGTACAACTCTGAAGCTTGCCCTATCTTAATTAAGCCAGTCTCACTGACTCCAATACACCTACCCCCACTGCCCTAGTTACTGTATCAATCCATCTCTTTTGGAGTCTTCCTCTCCTACAATGTCCATACACCCATCTGAGCATTAGTGGTCCCTCCTGGCCACATGCCAAAGTTTGGAAGACGAAGCTTCAAA